CTGAGCCCAGCAGGTCGAGGCTGCAGCGGCCATGAGTATACCACTGCACTCTGACCTGGGTGACAGAATAAGACTCTGAATAAAAAAATTTTTAAAAGGCGGGGGGCGGCTGGTGCTGCATCCTGCACAGCTGGGAGGTAAAGGATTCTGAAAGAGGAACAGCACACTATAGCACAAAACACTTTTAGAACTAGAAGGTGGGAGAACCAGGGGGCACTTTGCCTCATAGGACTAAGGCCCTGAGTTTCTTACCCATTAGTCTTTTATTAGTACAAAATGACACAGTTAAGTAAGCCATCAAGGACAAAGTACAGACAATGCAAAGAGAACTCCTTGTTTTGATCTTAGAAAGCTTTTGTGGGCCAGGCACAGTGGCTCACGGCTATAATCCCAGCACTTTGGGAGGCCAATGTGAAAAGATTGCCTGAGTCCATGGATTTGAGACCAGCCTGGGCAAATTGGTGAGACCTCATCTCTACGGTAAATCAAAAAATTAGCCGGGCATGGTGGCACGTGCCTGTAGTTCCAGCTACTTGGAAGGCTGAGGCGGAAGAATCACCTGAGCCCAGCAGGTCGAGGCTGCGGTGGCCGGGAGCATGCCACTGCCCTCCAGCCTGGGTGACAGAGTGAGACTCCGACTCAAAAGAGAAAAAAGAAAGAAAGCTTTTGTGATAAAGTGTGACTGTTTACAAGATAAAGCGCAGTTGCTTGCAAGACAATGTATAACTTTTTATCTAACCCAACACAACAGACACTGCATCTTTAGAACATGCCTCAGCATACGTGCCTATCTGTCTTTGCCATTATAGGCATTCTTGGCTGGTTGTGACTTTGCACGTATGGCAAGTATGTTTTCAGCAGAGTTCAAGCAAGGCAGTGGTCTTGGGTGGGAGACAGGACATGAGCGGGAGGCAATTCACAAATGGAAGTGACTGACACACATGAAAATTATTTGACCTCCTTCATAATAAAAGACTTACAAATTAAAATGGTATCGAGAGTTTCTAACTCTCAGATGGGCAAGAATGAAAGTGTGGGTGGGAGGCACAGGGAACAAGCACTCATGAACCGTTGGTGGGAATATACATTGGCAGAACACTTTGAGGATCAATTTGACTCTGAATTTGAGTTTCATTCACAAACTCCAGTGCTAGGAGTAATATTCTAAGAACAAATAGAACAAATGCCCCAAGATCTATATACACAGAGCGAAAATTGGAGGCAATCTAAATATTAAGGAACTGGCTAAAAAAAATTATGATCAAGCCATATAAAATATTATTGTTTTATATGTTCTGATATGAGACATTATTAAGTGAAAATTGTCTATTGTGCAAACAAAAAAATCAGTTCAAATGAGTAAAATTGTATATTATATAAATAAAAAATATTTATACATATTCCTTTCGTTATTATTTTTTGAGTCAGGGTCTCACTCTGTTGTCCAGGCTGAAGTGCAGTGGCACTATCAACTCAGTGGCAACCCCAAACTCCTGAGTTCTTCAGCCTTCCGAGTAGCTGGGACTATAGACATGCTATAGCACCACACCCAGCTAATTTTAATTTTTTGTAGACAAGGTCTCGCTATGTTGCCTAGGCTGATCTCAAACTCCTGGACTCAAGCAATCCTCCTACTTCAGCCTCCCAAAGTGCTGGGATTAGAGGCATGAACCACCACAACTGGCCAAGATTTTGTGTTTAAAATGAAATCAATTTAGTTGTGATTTCACAAAAGTCATTAACAAAAGAGTTTATAACAGAAACTAAGAGAATGAACTCTGAAGGAAGAGTTGAATGGGGAAAAAGAACGAGCAAAGAGTTAAGCTTAGAATATGCCCGCTGGGCTCGGTGGCTCAGCCTGTAATCCCGCGTCTTGGGAGGCTGAAGTGAGTTGATTGCCTGAGCCCAGGGGTTCGAGACCTGCGTGGGCAACTTGGTGAGACCTCATCTCTACAATAAATCAAAAATTAGCCGGCGTGGTAGCACGCGCCTGTAGTTCCAGCTACTTGGAAGGCTGAGGCGGAAGGATCGCCGGAGCCCAGCAGGTTGAGGCTGCGGTGGCCAGAAGCGGCCACTGCACTCCAGTCTGGGCGACAGAGTGAGATTCCAACGCAAAAAAAATAAAAAAAATTTTAAAAAAGCCGGGCTCAGTGGCTCAGCCTGTAATACCGCGCCCCGGGAGTGGCCACTGCACTCCAGTCTGGGTGACAGAGTGAGACTCCAAATCAAAAATAAAATAAAATAAAATAAAAGATGGCATCTGTAACTGTGGTTCATTTATCTGTATAGTCGGTGGAACTGAGAGCAGATTGCAAAGGAATAATGAAAATGTAATAGTACTAAATGAGACTAGTCAAAATCAGCCACTTATTCAAGGGAATGAGAGAACAAGGACATTTGAAAGGGCAGCAGGATCAAATGAGTTGTGCTCTAAATGGGAAGGTTTATGAACGTTTGAAAACAAGGTTAATGGAGAAAGACTGGAGGAGATATTGGAGAGAAAGGACATGTGAGCAAAGATCTCTTCAAGACTAAGTGTGTTTTCACGTATTTAACAAATTGTTCTGAAGGCCTGCCTTGCGAAGCACCTGAGTTACAGCTGTGAACCGTACTGAACAGTCGTTGCCCTTGGTACTTATGGTCTACTTAAGACTCCAAGCCAAGAGAAGAGAAGGAAGAGGTATCACTTATACTCCAGGGAAGAACAGGAAGATAAGTGCAAAAAACTGTGGGATGTCTTGCACTTGAAAGAGGATAGAATAGCTAAATAGAAAAGCCTGGAGAGAAATCTCTGGTGTCTCTCTACTTATAAGGATGTCTCTCTCCCATGGGATTAGGGACCCACCCTTATGACCTCACTTAACCTTAATTACCTCTGAAAGGCCCCATCTTCAAATGCAGTCACACTGGGGGCTAGGACTTCAACATATGGATTTGGTGGTGGCGGGGACAATTTATAACACGTGGGGATGAGGGTCAAAATGGGAGAGCTGGACATTGGTTATGTGTGAGAGGAAGTAGACATGGGAAGGATTTCTCCTTGTAGCTGACCATGGAGAGGCTGGGATGGAGAGAAATTATAGTGCAGCTAGGAATTGTGAGAAAGAGGTTGTGCATTTCTTTGTTTCCTGGGAAACCTACTTGGAGATTTAAAGCTGATAAAACAATCTAGATTGCTACAGGGGGAAAATACACTCTCAAATGTTTAAATTCAAATGCAGCTTCAAGTAATAGTGAGTTTGAAATGTGGGCATTATTATTATTATTATTATTAGAGTTGGAGTCTCACTCTGTTGCCCAGACTGGAGTGCAGTGGCCACTCCCAGCCACCGCAGCCTCGACCCGCTGGGCTGTGGTGATCCTTCCGCCTCAGCCTTTCGAGTAGCCAGAATTACAGGCGTGCGCTACCACGCCCGGCTGATTTTTTGATTTATTGTAGAGATGAGGTCTCGCCAAGTTGCCCAGGCGGGTCTCGAACCCGCGGGCTCAGGCAATCCACTCACCTCAGCCTCCCAAGGCGTGGGATTACAGGCTGAGCCACCGAGCCCGGCTGAAATGTGGGCATTATTAAACAATAACAATATATTTATAGACATTTAGATTCTATTCATTTTTACATACATTCACACGTTTCTTACAACAACCTAGCAGAGGGCTGGGCATGATGATTTATGCCTGTAATCCCAGCACTTTGCAAAGCTAGGTGAGAGGATTGCTTGAATCCAGGAGTTTGAGACCAGCCAAGGCAACATAGGGAGACTTTGTTTCTGCAAAAAAAATTTTTTAAATGATGCGGGCATCATGGCATGTACCTGTAGTCCCAGCTACTCAGGAGACTGAGGTGGAAGAATTGCCTGAGCCTAGGAGGTAGAGGCTGCAGTGAGCCATGACGGTGCCACTGCACTCCAGCCTGGGTGTCAGAGTGAGACCCCGACCAAAACAAAACAAAACATAAACCACCAATCTTATAGAGTAGTTGGGATAATCACATTCCCATTTTTTAGATGAGACAGTAATTTAGCCAGGTGTAGTGGCTCATGCCTGTAATCCCAGCACTTTGGGAGGTGGAGGTGAGAGGATTGCTTGAGCCCAGAGGTTTGAGACCAGCTTGGGCAACTTGGTGAAACCGCCTATCTACAATAAAACAAACAAAATTAGCTGGGCGTGCTGGTGCATGCCTGTGGTTCCAGCTACTTGGAAGGCTGAGGCGGAAGGATCTTCTGAGCCCAGGGGCGCCACTGCACTCCAGCCTGGGCAACAGAGTGAAATTCCTATCCACCCTACCTCCCCCCAGAAAGAAACTGTAATTTAAGTGAAACTGACGGGGTGGTGGCTCTTGCCTATAATCCCAGCACTTCGGGAGGCTGAGGTGAGAGGACTGTCTGAGCTCACAGGTTGGAGACCAGCCCAGGCAACTTGTTGAGACCTCGTCTCTACAATAAATCCAAAAATCAGCCGGGTGTGGTGGCGCACGCCTGTCATTCCGGCTCCTCGGAAGGCGGAGGCGGAAGGATCGCCGGAGCCCGGCAGGTCGAGGCTGCGGTGGCCGGGAGCGGCCCCTGCGCTCCAGCCTGGGCGAGCGAGTGAGACTCCCACTCAAAAAAACAAAATTCACTCACTCACTCTGACCTTGCTAATTTGCCTTCCATTCACCATTCAAGACTGAAAGAAACAAACAAAAAACAGGCAGGAGGGGCAGCGGCAAGGTCATCCCATAGAAAACGAACTTCCAAATGAAAGCCACGAAAGGGAGCCTCCGCGGGACTCCGGAGCGGGCGGTGCCCGGAGGGCCCG